AGCATCCAATCCCCCTCCTTTCCCCTCCCATGAGAGACCGGCGTAGCTCTTACAGAGCTGACATATGCACCACCGGAAACAAAGGTAGAACACGTGCAAGCTAAGCCAACAGCATACTACATCCTTCATCCTACTGTGATTAGAACAAATCTCAAGATCTGATGAAAATTATGGAACACAGACTCCTTATTCTTAAGAACATGGTAGGAAGATGTGAGGACTGAAACTGCTGTAATTTCACTACCACAAACTTTACTACCATAAATGAGGTTTATATCAGTTTGGGCCTAATTAGGAGAGAGAAATCACACAAGGAAAGTTTAATATAAAGAACTATTAACCACAATTGGGGTTAAAGTAATGGAGGATTACCTAGGAAGCTGGAAAGAGAACTTAAAAATATATAAGACTAGCACTTAGAAGAAGCGGCCATTAGTCCTGGGGCTCAGACAGAGATTCCAAGGAAGACCTCTCCCCAAGCTATCCTCCCCAGGGCTGAGATTCAAAATTTGTTAGTGAGATTATAGTCTTGGCTCACTGAAAGAGAGAAAAGTTTCTCTAGTGCCATGCCAGTAAAACTTATGGAAATCTGACTCTGGAACTTGTCAGGAATCACCCCACACCTCTGGGGTGCCAGGGAGGCCTCCAACCAGAGGCTCCTCACTACAAAACCACTGAAAGGAGGATGGCTAAGGGGAGCTGCTGTTGGACACCATGTATGATGATACCTGGGTTCCAGAGAGGCTGCATAGGCTACAGAAGTCTGGTCCTGGAAAAAACCTGGCACAATGCAGGCGCCTGCCAAGCAAACACATCCACACCTGGAAGCAAAACTCTTTCCTTCTACAATGTTAATCAAGGGCCTTCTACTACACAAAGCTTCAGGGCCAAATGGAAAGAAAAAAATATTTGAAATTTCAATATTCAACAGAACATTCAAATGCCCCTTTCTCAGTAATTGATAAAATAACCAGATCTCCTTTAGCCCTAAGAAATAAAATCTGCAAAAATACAGAAGACTTGAACATTATCAACTTCACTAAGTGACAGAAAAAGATTGATATAGAATAATTCAACCAAAAATAACAAAATACTCACTCTTTTCAAATATACTTGGAATATTTTCATGTATAGACCTTAGGATAGGCCATAAATAAATCTCAGTGAATTCAAAAGAATTGAAATTCTACAAATTATGTTCTCTCACCTTAACAAAATTAGGAAATCAACATTAGAAAGAAATATAGGAAATCTCAGAATATTTTAAAATACAATATATTTCAAAGGAACCCAAAGATCAGAGAAGAAACATCACACAAAGAATTAGACAATATGTTTAAATTAATGAATACAAAAAATACGTCAAAATTTAAGAAATACAGCAAAACGGTGAAGAAAGAAATTTACAGCTTCAAATGCTTACAACGGAAAAGCAAAAATATCTAAAATCAATCTAAGTTTCCACCTCAAGAAGCTAGAAAATGAAGGACAAATCATGCACCATGTAGGTAGAAGAAAGGAATAATAATTAAAATGAAAATCAATGAGACAGAAAAGAGGAAAATAAAATAAATCACTGAAATAAAAAATTGATTATTTTAGAAAATATCAACAAAATCTTTAGAAAATATCAAACATCCAATAAAAAAATGAGAGAAAACACAAATTACCACAAGAATGAAAGAAGAGACATCACTACTAACCCTACAAAAATCAAAAGGATCATAAAGAGAAAAGTATGAACAACTTTAAGCTAGCACTACACACCTGCCAAAATGGCTATATTCTAAAACATGGAGAATATCAAATCTTGGGGATGACGTGGAAAAACTGAAACCTTCATACATTACTGATGGGAATGAAAATGGTACAATAACTTTGGAAAACAGGTTGACAGTTTCTTAAAAAGTAAAACATATATTTAGCATGTAACCCAGCGTATAGCCATATATTCATAGCTACATTGTTCTTAACAGCCCCAAACTAGAAACAATCCTAACGTCCATCCAAACAGCCATAAAATAGAAATAATGTTAAATCTAAAGATAAATTTTGGGCAAATTGCCTTCAAAATCTTTGATCTATGAACATGATGTGTTGCTGCATTTTTTAAAAATTTCTTTAATTTCTCTCAATAACATTTCGTAGTTTTGGGAAGGGAAAAAAGTTCCATACAATAAAATAATATTATTCATGAATAAAAAGGAAGGAACTACTAATACACAGAATGACACGCATAAACCTCAAAAACATTTTAAGTGAAAGAAGCCAGACATTACATATTATATTAACCTACGTATGTGAAATTTCTAGAAAAGGCAAATATATACAGAAAATAATCAGTGGTTGCTAAGGACTGAAAGTGGGCATAGGAAATGACTGTAAACAAGCATCAGGGAACTTCTGGAGTGATGGAAATATTCTAAATTGGATTGTGGTGATGGTTCATCACTGTTTAAATTTTCTAAAATCATTTGACTATAGTTATAATGGGTGAATTTAATGCGATGGAAACTACACCTCACTAAGGCTGTGAAAGTAAGGAAAGGAGAAGAAATAACCCATTTCTATAAGGACTATATTTCAGAGTAACCAACTTGCTGATAAGGAAAAAAATTTTAATAGAAGAATTCCAGCTAATAAAAAATGACATATTAGAAAATGTCATACATAAAAAAATGACAATATTATTTTTAAAAGTCCCATTTTATAACCCCTAATGAAAAGATGTATCTTAACAATGCTAAAGCTATTAAAATAAAAGGCTGATGAGGAACCTTATAATGGAGGAATCAGATTGATGCTGCCTGGAGCCAAATGTCACTAAATTTAAGATAGTCAGACATTATATGCCACTTGATGTGATGCAATAAAATACGTAACACCAACTATGAAAGATTCTTGCCCAAAAGTAAAATAATTCTGAATCTACTCAAACTCCTAAGTCTAATTATCAATTTATATAATAAAAGTGATAAACAAAACAACCAGAACTTTAAGAAAGCAATTAACCAAATCCAAACTGTAGGGCATTCTAAAGGACCTGGTTTTTCTAACAAATTCAGCATTAAAAACAAGTGAGAGATACTATTACAGAAAAAAAAGAAAAGAAAAGAAATAAAGAAACTTATGAGCTAAACAGTCATATATAATGTGTTGAACCACACCTTGACTAGATCCTGATTTTAGCAAACCAAGTACAAAAAGACATTTTGGTGACAACTGGGGAAATCTGCAGAGTGACAACACATTTGATGTTATTAAAGAATTAAGGAATTGGTATTAATTTTGTTAGGTGTGACACCAGCATGGTAGATACATATTTTTTAAAGTATCAGTCAGAAGTCATGTCAGAGTATCTGCAATGAAATAATGTAGATATAGAATTTGCTTTTAAATATTCCAACAAATATTTTAGTGGCAGGGTGAACATGTAATTAGACTGGCGGTATGTTAAGTATTGTTGAAGCTGGGTGGTAGGTATATGGGACATTAACTTTTTTTCCTCTCCAGTTTTAGTGTTTTTAGATGTTCATAATAATAAGGTTAAGGGACAGTGCAAGATTGCAAAACTGAGAGAAAAAAAAAAGTAGAAAAAATGGGGCCCAAAGCACACAAGAGAGATCAGAGATAAAGAGTGATGTGGAAGTCATCAGAAGATAGTAATATATGAAGTCAAGTCTTTGAAGAGAATATAAAGAAAGAGTAGAAACTATGTAAAAAGAGATCAGAGAAGGGAAGCCTGTGGACTACTAATATTTAAAGATCGGCAGAAAAAAATGAATTTAAGAAAGATACCAAAATATGAAATGTCAGTGAGTGGGGAAGAGACCTAAGAGGAAAACTGAATCAGAGAAATTAAGGCAAGAAAGTTTCTAAAAAATGATAACCACTAAGTACTCTTTTGATTGCCCCCAAATTTCAAATCAAACAGAAAAAGACAATGTGTTTAACAGAAGAATTTCCAAACAATAAAAGAATTATCTTCATATCATCTAAGATATACAATTTCCCAGATATTAAGATGTCCAGGAAATAGTAAAAGTCATATACCCACTGGCACCAAATTGCCAACTAGTGAGTCTACCATAGTGAAATTTAGAATACCAAGTGACAGAACAGCTATAAAAAGTGAGATATTGACACCGGCCATAAAGAGTACTCTGGAGAAGAGTCACTAAACCATAAACTCCCAGAATGTAAGACAATGAGCCAGCTCTATTCCTCCCTTATGCCCAGATTCTAGCATGGTGCCAGGTTCCATGTTTCTACATTGTTAGAGTCCCAATGGGATGTGGAAAGGGGAAGGTTTGGAAGAGATGGATGGCAATGATGATGCCCAATATCGCTGACCTTCTGATCCAGTTACATATTAGACCAATCTGGTGATCCCAGGTCCCTTTCTAACTATAAGGATAAATAACAGAGCTTTTCATTTCATACCTAAAGCTCAAATAACTTATTCCCAGGTATATACCTTGACACTGTTGCTCTCACAAATAGCTGCACCTTCTAATAGTTGATTCCTAGTACTTTAAAGAATTTACTTTTATCAAGTCTTAAAAAAGCCTCTTTCAAATAATTTATTAACATTAAATGTAATACAAAGTGAAAAGCATATATATATATATATCTACCATTATGACAATCTACTATTATTTACTCTCTTGATTTACAATACACCGAGGATATCTTTGTCTACAAAGTCTCACTTAATATGAATCTCTGTCCTTATATCATAAACTCTATATTATCTAAATCAATAAAAAGTTAAAATAAGTCTTTTTGTTTTCCACAAACCAAACACAGAAGAAAAAATTCCAAGTACATGTATTTTTTTATTATTTGCAGCTATATTCTGAAATTCCAAGAAGTATAAAAAAAGTGCTCAAGATTTTTTAAAATTCTTATTAAACTCTTTTTAACTTTTATCTAACCCAGGATTAAAAAGGGTAATTCTAAACTGTCTTAGTATCAGGAACTAAAATTTAAAAACTCACATTCAAGCTGAGCAACCACATCTCCAGGGTCTACTGCTTCAGGGAACACCTACAGTGGGAGAACGGAGGGGAAGCAGGATGGAGAAGAGGAAGTGAACGGAACATAAATATAAAATAGTCTGTTTTTTCTCTCTCATTCCCAAAATATTCCTTTCCCAACCAAAGAAACTTGACACTACTGAGAACTGCTACTTCTCCTCTGCTTCCCATGATCGCTGTAGAAGATTTCACAAACAAACAAACATTAGGGTTGGCTGTGTGTCCCACTCCAATTTCATCTGCTAGCTTTCTTCCCTTTGTTTTGTTACCATGGTCATACTGGCCTTCTTGGTGTTTCTCCAGCTCATCAAGCTTATTCCCAATAAGAAGTCTTTATATTTGCTATTCCTCTGTCTAGAGTGCTTTACCCCTAGACTTTCAAATGGCTGGTATTTGTCTTATAATTCAGGCTTGGCTTAAATGTTACTGCCTTCTCCGACCACTTTTAAAATAGAAAATCCCCTTAATCTCTCAGTCCCTCTTTGTCTCCTTACCTTCCCCTTTATTCTCTTCATGGCACTTATTACTATCCAAAATTATGTTATTTGTGTATTTACTTAATTATTGTCTGTTTCTTCTTTTACAATGAAAGTTCCAAGAAGGAAAGATATTTGTCTACCCAGTGTCCAGAGCGGTGCATGGAACAGAGCAGGTACTGGGTAATTATTTGTGGAGAAAAGGAAGAAGGGAGCGGGGAAAGAAAAGAGGAGAGAGGGAGGGAGAGAGGCAGGGAAATAGAAAAGAAATGAAAGAAGTTTAAAAAGCAAGAAATACAATTGGTAATAAACAAAAGCAACAGTTTTAGGGGGGAAAAAAGAAAAGAGACTTATAGAAAGTAGTAGCACAATATAGCCATAAGTAAAATATTCTTACCTATTAATGTCTCTTCTCTCTTTTCATGAAAATGATTTTTTAGAATTCTAGGTGCTGTATTTTACATAAAATCCCACTATGACAATTTTAGAAACAAGCTGAACCATCATGAAAAAGAAGCACTTGATTCAATGTATAATATAACGCATATTTATTTTCAAGTCTCCAGATTTGTGACAAATCTCCTTTTGAATTAAGTCAAAGTATATAGCAATAATTTCTGTTCTAGGATTTTATTCAAAATTTGGAACTACTTTTGTTTTTCGTTTGTTAATTTTGATTTGAGATTTGAACTCACCTTTTCAAACACCATTCTGGCATTGAAGACCAGTGGAAAAGTGGCTGGGACACATTGTGTCTTTTTATATTGGCCAAACACACAGATGCTAAGATAGATATCCTCCTTGTCTTTCAGCACCACTCCTGGACAAGTTACCTGAAAGAAATTAGACTGATGTGACTGCTTTATGAACTCCCTGATCTATCCTACTAAAATGACATAAAACATTATATAAAACACTAGTCTGCTATGCTAATAAAATATGCAAATACAAAGAGAACACAATTCTGGTGTTTACAGAAGTTAAATGAAATGCCTTTATAACTTCCATTCCTCTGAGAAATTTGTGATTTTCCATTTGGTTATTTGTACCCCATTTGAAGCTCTATGTACTAGCTCTTGGGACAGACACTAACAGTTTTAAGCAGTCAGCCTTAGGCACCCACTCTATGCTGAATGCTGACATAAATTTATTCAGTATCATTTAATCACAAAGGATTAAAACTCAGTAGAAATAAAGTACTATTCTAGAGGACAAAAAAATACTGATAAAGAGCACAATCTTGACCTGTATTACCCTAAATAGCAGGCCACACACACCCTCACCAAAAACAAGATGACAAAGCTTCAAAGCAAGTGAATTGTAAGTTTCTAGTCCAATGCAATATTTTTCAAATAAGAAATTGAACTCGACTATTCTCACAGTTGACAGAAAGTATAGTAATAAAATGTGGGGTTTCTAAAAAATACATGGTACACTCTCTCCAGTCCCTGCCATATTTCATTGTCAGTGACCGGCCACGCCCTTAATGGGATCTTAAAGGCTAAGATTTTAACCCAACTTACCCACATAGTACTATTATTCAACGACCTCTAATAATAGGATCAACGTGTATTTTTTTATTGTTGTCTGAACTCAAACACTGTTTCCCTGCCTCGCATCTTTCCATTTATCTGCATTACTGCTCCATCTTTTCCTCACTTATTCCCACTACCTGCCAAGGCTTACACCATCTGCCATCTCCTACACAAAACTTCTCTTGATACACCAGCTATCATTATTCAATTTGAACTAATTTAGAAATTTATTATGAATTTACTATATCCAAGTAATATGTTTCAGATTCTCATAACATTTTGTAGTTCCATTAAGGTCCTAATTATTGTTTCCATGCATTTTAATAAAGTGGGTACATTTCCTCTCTTTTATTTGACTATACATTCCCTGAGGACAGAAATTTTATTTTCCTCATTAATGTATCCTAAAACATGAACCTTAAGTATTAAGAAGAAGCTCAGAGATTATGGGTGTTTGATAACAGAGCTCCCCAAAAGGATAGGTGATTTACTTACTTAAAATCACACAGTAAAGGAGTCAAGAATATGTTAAAAGTGCTTAGAATAGTGCCCGACAAATCATTTATCTAATAGAAATTATCATTGTTAGACTAAAAACCATTATCATCTGTCATCTTAATATAGACTATTGCATTTATTAAATGACTAAGACTTCATGTCTCTTTGTACACAGCAGTTTGCTATGCCGGCTATTTTGACTCTATTTCTTATTCTACTTTCCACTTTTGTCCTAAAATTATTAAAAGCAAGGTTCTTAGTAAATCTTATTCTGTTCATCATCTTCATATCCTACTCTGCCTTGTTAAAACCAAAGCTGTGTGAGAGTCCCTCAAATCTGTGTTCTCTAACATGATAGCTGCTGCCCACTTATGCCTATACATGAGGCTACTTTAAATTGAGATGTGTTGTTATTCTTGTAAAATACAAGACTTTGAAGATTTCAAAGAATTGTTACAGAAAAAAAGTAAAATATCTCATTAATAACTTTTATATTAATTATATTTTGAAATACTGTTAACATTTATTTAAATAAAACTTATTTTAAAAAATAATTTTACATACTTCTTTTAACTTTTTAAATGTGATTTGTAGAAAGTTTTAAATTACATACATCCATGGCTCATATTATATTTTCATTGGACAGCACTGCTCTAATTGTCCTCACTGGAAAATACTGAGTTTCTTTCCAATTTGTAATATGTAAGAAGGCATTACTTTTTTTTTCTTCACCCACAATTCTACAAATTCTGCCATCCTTTAAAGGAATAGCTAGCAGATTTCCAAAATGAAAGTGGAGGTGGGGTGGGGGAGATAAAGAAAATCAGATGGAACAAACAGAAAATAAATAGCAAAGTGGTTGACTTAAACCAACTTTATAAAGAATTTCATGAAGTAAATATTATAAGCATTCTAATTAAAAGGCATAAATTGTCAAATAGGAGTTTTAAAAAAGCAAGACAATATGCTGTCTGCTAAAACCCATTTTAAAGACACACAGAAAAAGTACCTTCAGGATGGTGAAATAAATGCCTCCAAAAAGCAGCCCTTCTATGAAAGCAATGAGAATCCTATCAAAAACCGTCAAAATCAATTTTTTAGAGCTTTGGAAGTTAACAAGAGGCTTACGACAACCCAAGGAATATTTATTCTGGTAAAAACAGTGACATTGTGGTGTTTTAGCATAATCTATTCACAACTCTTCCTATCCAGGTCTTCTGTAGCCTTGAAAACCAAAGCTCTTATAGTTATGGTAGCCATGACACCAGCAGCCCCAAAGCCACTGGAGGAGAACAGATTTAGAGCTGCCAAAAAGCCCTAGCCTTCAAGAACTTTCATTGTTTGATCTGTATCACAGTACCAGGGAAACCCCTCTTCACAGACCTTCTCTTTATTTGGCCTGAATCACAGCTTACTCTTGACAGACAGACTTCACCCTCAAGGCATTTGTCAAAAACAATCAGCAGCAATTATTTAACATCATGGATGCCCGAGGCAGGGATCACAATGGGGCAAACAATAAACTAAGTGTGTGTGTGTGTGTGTGTGTGTGTGTGTGTGTGTGTGTGTGTGTGTGTGTGGAGGGTGGGAATCTGACAAGCTATGATATATTCTTGGCAATTTAGAAAGTCATGCACATGTTCAGAGCTATGCACTTGGCTGGAAATAACCTAAGGAAGCCCTATTCTCACCTTTGGCTGACCTTGAAGTTTTAGGCATGTTGGAAGTGAAGGCTAAGACAGTTGTAAACTGCCTGCCAGGACATAGAAAGCATACTCCAACATGCACAGAGGGATCCTCAGCAAAGACTGGGTTACTTATTGGTATAAAGCTTTTAAGAAATATAAATCCAGTCATTAGCGGGACAGGAAGCAGAGACTTCAATGGCCATACACAACAAAGAATACAAACTATAGCTTAGGAAAATAATAAACAAACAAAAAGCAACAACAGCAGCAAATAACAGTAAACCTTAAGAAACAATGGGAGTCTGATTTACAGAATTCCCCATTTAAAATACTCAGTTTTCAAAAAGTATTATAACATGCAAATAAACAAGAATATGACCTATACATCTTGAAAAGCAGCAAAAGAAAATGATTCAGCAATCCCTTTTCTGAGTATCTACCCAAAAAATTTAAAACGTTTATCCATAAAGATATATGCACCCCAATGTTCACTGCAGCATTGTCCACGGTGGCCAAGACATGGAAACAACTAAAACGCCCTTCAATAGATGTTTGATTAAAGATTTGGTACATATTTACAATGGAATGTTACTCAGTCATAAGAAAAGATGAAATGCTGCCATTTGCGACAACGTGGATGGATCCTGAGATTATCGTGCCAAGCAAAATAAGTCAGACCAAAAAAGTTGGGAACCATATGATTTCACTCATATGGGATGTAAAACTAAAAGCAACAAACAAACAAGACAAACAAACAAAAACTCAGAGACACAGGCAACAGTTAAGTGGTTACCAAAGGGAAAGGTGGAAGGGAAAAAGATAAGGGTAAAGCGGATCAAATATGTGGTGACCAAAGGATATCTAACTTTGGGTGGTGAACAGACAATGCAATACACATGTGATATATTACTGAAGTGTACACTTGAAACCTATATAATTTTATTAAACAGCTTCTCCCCAATAAATTTTAAAAGAAAGAAAGAAAGAAAGAAATTTTGCACAAGTCCTGCGATTTTGAGAAGTTCATGAGTACATTTCCAGGAAAGCAACCAGAATTGAAGTCCAATAATTTGATGTGTCATGCAATGTTTTTAGTTCAAGAGAAAGTGTTTATTATGTATCATGGGAAGAATTGAGTGTTCACAAGAGCAAAGCAAAGCCTAGTCCTAGAAAGCACATAGAGTGTGAACTGATAGTAAGGATGAACAGAGACTCATGGGTGAGCTAATCCTTTATGAAATCCTCTAGTCTGAAAATAGAAATACATAGGTCAATATACAGATAGGATAAATGTATTTTTTCTTTCATGTCTCCTTTCTTATTTAAAATAAAATTGCATAAAGCAACAATTATTAAACTATGTTGAATGGGCTTATATGCATAAAGATGTAATTTGTATGACAATAAAAAAAGAAGAGGAGAGGGAAGGGAACTAAATAGAAATAAAAGTTTTGTATACTACTGAAATTAAACAATCCATCCTAGATTGCTATAAATTAAGATGTTAATTGTGGTCTACGGCCATGCTACCCTGAACAAGCCCCATCCCATCTGATCTTGGAAGCTAAGCAGGGTGGGGCCTGGTTAGTACTTGGATGGGAAGTACTAGGAAGACCAGTGCTGTAGATGTAAAAAATAAAAAATAAGGGATTGTAAGATGACAAGGTCTTTGCAATCTGTGAGGTCAACCAAGGGTTGCCTCACCCCCCCCCCACAAAATAAAATAAAATAAAAATAAATTTTAAAAAATGTTAATTGTGAACCCCAGGACAACCACTAAGAAAAAAACTTTAAGAAATATAGCAAGAGAAACAACACAATTAAAATGGTACATTAGATAATAGTTAATACAAAAGAAGTTATTAATATAGAAACAAAAACAAAAAAGACATAAGACATAAAGAAAACAAATAGCAAAACAGAGGTAAATCCTATCTTATCTGTGATTACATTAAAGATAAACTGAATAAACATTCCAATCAAAAAGTACATGAAGCAAAAACAGACATCACTCCAAAAAAGATAAACGAATGGCCAATAAGCACATAAAAACATATTCAACATCATTCGTCATTAGAGAAATAAAAATAAAAACCACAATAAGATATCTCTTCATACTAGCTAGGA